AGTAAAATACCTTTTTGGACAAATAACCCAAAAGTAAGGCGACTAAAATGTCTACCAAGTCTTTTCTATGCGAATTCTAAACATATGCACTGCCTGTTCCCTATTTCCAGCATCGAAAAGTTAGGATTTAGATCTAAGAATCTTCATATTTAATGTCAAATTTAAATAATTTAATATATTATATTTAACAGATTGTAATGAAAATATAATATCTTTTAAAAAGCAGTAAATTCGGCTTAGGTAAAATACCTTTTTAGACAAATAACCCAAAATTAAGGCGACTAAAATGTCTAACAAGTCTTTTCTAGAAATATACACTGCCTGTTCCCTATTTCCAGCATCGAAAATTAGGATTTAGATCCAAGTCTCTCGAAATAAACCTGTCATCTGCTGTAGTCACTGATTTCTACCTTTACACTTTTTCAGGTGTAACTTTTGTGAATGAGCTTAGTCAGAGCATGTACAAAATGAAGATTAGAGTACAAGAGCTGAGATGGTGTGGCAAACACTGTCCTCTGCATTTCAGTTGTGGGATTGAGGTTAACAACAATCAGAATCCACCTTAATTTAAATAATAAGCAAGATTTTCGTCCAAAGTTGGCCTAAAGGAAAAGGTGAAGCGAGGCTGCATCTCGCCGTTCTTGGTATGAAAGTGATATCTTAAGATTTTCGGCTCCAAATAGTGCACTGTTGCCGAGGCCTAAGCATCCTCATGCGGGTTCTGCTGGTATATAATTCAGGAGCTGGAGGGTACAAACAGCTCAAGTAAAGATGGTGCCTGTGAAATGAGCACACGTTCTTCAATTCGTGAGAAGGTATAAACCTCTCAATCTTTGGGCAATACAAGACCTACCAGCTGTTGCCCTGCCGGTGAAGAAGATGGACCGGCATCTGTGGTCGTCTGCAGAGAGGTGTTGGCGTATCTCAACAGGGTTGAGTCGACCAGGGACGAGGGAAGTGTCAATGGTTGGTAGTGAAGATGCATACTAGGCGGCTGAGCAAGTGAATAGAAGCCACTGCAATCGATGCAATCTGTATGGGAGAAGCATAATTGCAAAGGCATAAAAAGTTAAGATAAAGAATCATACTTGCAGCAAATTTAAAATGTTATATTCATGAAATGTAATAATCATTATCATATATAAGCAAATTAATATATCGCTATAGGAATCTACAACTACTTTTTTCGAGACTAGAAAGTTTGTCGACAATCCCAACACAGAATGGGGTATGGAAAATGTCTTACAGACCCTAAAATTCACATCTTCTCTGCGACCCAATTGCAATCGTGGCAATGTGGCGTAGTGGTTGACCTGTCAAGCTTACACACTGCACAGTCCTGGTTCGACTCCCTCTCGGGGTGTTAATAAGACCGAGGCGAAGTCGAAACTGCAGTCCACTTTTACCGGAATCAGAACGCCTATTTAGAGAGCAAGGCTGTGTGAAATTTAATGAAAACGTAAGCTCTACTCATATCATTGTTTGAAAATTCAACCACCAGTCCTTATTCGCCTTAAATGAAATAGAGTGAAAACAAATCACTTAATTATTCGTATTAGAGTAGGGTTTCGAGACATCTTATTACACTTAATTATTGTTTTAAATTCAACTATTTCAGGTCTTCTCATCTCTTCTCTACTGCCTCAAATGAGTTCGATGAATAATCCAAAAAAATTATTCCAATGATTAAGAGTAATGGAGAAGTTCACAATTAAAAGCCACAAAACAGATCTTATTTCATTCGTGTATGACATCGTACAAGACGAATGCTAGCTGTTGTGTGTAAATCACTTCTTCGGGCAAATATCCTCATTTACTGTAACTCTACTCAAGGTGTTACTCTTAAAGACGCTGCTTAAGAAGTAGTCTATGATAGGCATTTTAGTATTTTTAGCCGCCAATAGTAAGCAAGCTATCAATGAACGGTAGAGCAGAATTTTAAACTATATGCCCACAGGCCTAATCTGGTTTGTGTTTTCAGTACCTGTAAAACCTAGTACAAATGCACATGATGGGGATGGGT